TGGGACAACAGAATAAACAAAGCTGAGGGCTCCACAGAAAGATTAACCATTTTAGCTGGGAGCTCTTATCTAAAGCAGCAGGTAGCTTTCAACTACAAAGAGTTTCTCATCTATGTGCTGTTGACTATGAAAAACTGCTAATAAAACATCCTGTGTTGTCTCCTGAGCTACAAGATCATCTTCCTTTCCCATATAAGATCATAGACTCACCCTCTATTGTTGTAATGTATAGATAGTCCATATATTAACTGTGTCTTTACTTAGCAAGACAAGATTTCTATCTAGGTCTTTGCAACCAGCAACGTTATCGCCCTGGCCCGGGACTGAAGCTATCAAACATCCTGTAAGCCCCCTCTTCAAAAGACCCTTCCCAGTAATCAAGATCTAAGAAGAAGATACACCTTCGTTCTGAGAATTGTGTTTGGCTTCACCTGTTCAAACAAGACAGACATCATGTTTTATGATCATTGTTCCTGTGCTTTGAATTCTCTGTTTCAGAGAGTAAATCTTTTATTTCCCCCTCACCCCTCCTACTCCTGTAAGATCCCTCAATAAATACGTGTGTTTCATAGCCGCCAGCGTGGTAGCCTGGAGCTGGCTCTGGCTGTGGCCGGCTGAGAACATGCTAAGGAGCAAAGAGGTCTCAGTCTAATTTTGTGTTTCTGAACACCTGTGTCGCCTTCCTGTGTACGAGCCACCCTCCACTGCCGAGGCCAGATGCCGGCAAGACTGCACAGAAAAAAGACAGACCTGACAGGGTACATACATCTGTGTTCAGAGATCGGATCAGCATACCAACAGGGATTGGCTATGGCTGCTGCCCTTCAAGGGTACACCATCCTCCAATTCCTTGACTGCAATCATCAAGGTAATTGTTTTAAATGTGGTCATCCAGGAAACATGGCAAAACAATGTAAAACAAAAAAATATTAAAAATAAGAGACAGAATCAACCCCTTGATATGCAGTAAGTGCCAGAGGGGACATCATCCTGCCCAAGAGTGCAGGTCCAAAACAGATATCCATGGCAGACCACTCATTTACTCTCAGGGAAACGGGAACAGGGGCCAGCCCCAGGCCCCCAGACCCAAACAAGTTTTTGGGGCGATGCAAACTGTTCCAACAAACAATCCATTTCAGACCTCTCCAGAG